GGAGGAGGTGATCCACCTCACAGGGTCCACAGAGGGGACCCACCCTACAGTGATCCCTGCACAGGATCCAGTGAGCTGGTTCTCGACTCGGCTGCACATTTATGACCGTCTTTCTCCTCCGTATGGAAATATGTGGAGGTTCTATTAAAAGGAGTCAGTCAAAAAACAAATCAAGGTTTTTTTTTTATTTTTTTTATTTTATCTATTTATGGATTTTATTTTTTTTAACAAAATTTGCATTTGACAATGAATATATTTTGCAGGGTGTTAATATTAATAATAATGTAAATTAGTCAGGCCATTTGTTATATAATATTGTAGGACCAGGTTTATTTATTTTATATAACAATGTATGGTTTTTATCTTTATATGTAATTTAGTCTGTAGACTTTTATTTAGAGAACATTTTAGAGTCCTAACAGTGATATTTAAATTACTTATATAGGTTTACATAATGCTGTAGAGCCTCTAACTTCACTAGATAAACTTTCATTCTTAACGCCAATTTAGTTTCTGTTTTGAAATGCATTTTGGCTGAACAGCGATTGTTCAAATTGTGCGATGTCAATAACTGTGACTTACTTTGTCTATTGACTTGAGTTCTGGGTATCTTTTGCCATGTCTGTCAAAGTCCTTTGTAAACCCTTGTTTTATAAATAAAATTATTATGACGGTTACATACTTGGGGTTTGAACTGTAAGTTCTACAAAGCGAGCAGTTTAAAGCACACCAATGACTCTGCTTATTTGACTGATGCTATTATTTTTTTTAGTCCTTTTTAAGCAAACACAACAAAAACAGTTACCGCTCTCAGAGTTTCCTGGTTTTCTTGCTCTTGGGTTTTGTACTGTTGGTTCTCCTAAGCAAGCCGTTTGGAGAGGTAACCTGAGGCTCTGTGAATCGGTGATTCTGCAGGCCAAACAGTCAGTTAATCAAGGAAACAAACGGACAATGAATCGATAGGAAAACAGCCTTCATGTTGAGAAATGAAATATATAAATGAACTTTACAAGAATACATAACAATCCATATAATTGAAATAAATAAATCACACAACATGCAGGGCTTCTGTCATTTACAAACTCAAATAATAAGTATTTGTCTAACTAACCTTACCTTGTATTTTCCCTACAAGAAAATGTACATTTTTGAGTTCCTTCAAGCTTATTGCATCAAAAGAAACTCTGCTACTTGCTCTAAAGGATTTCAGCGATTGCTTTTTATTCAGCAGGTAAAAGGTTCTTTGAAGAGTTTTCGATAACACAATGAACCAAATCAGTGACGTGAAGCAAATGCATCCATGACAGTCTGTGCTGCATCCTGGGGGACACCAGTGGTAACTTCACCGCTCTCTTCCAACCGGTTTCGGATTCTCATGTGAAAGGAAAAGGAAAGGAGGCATGTCCCCGTAGGCCGGCTGACGTTCAGGCTGATCAGATGGAGCTGGGCTGTCAGGAGGCGTGGTTGGAGGATCAGGAAATACAGGCATGTCAGCCTGCTGAGGAATGTAATAAACTGGTATATACGGGTGTGGATGATAAAACGACTTCTGAGCAGTAGGCTTCTGACTGGCAGCTGTACTGGCTGTTGGGGGGATGGCGGTGGGAGCTGCAGTTGGAGTATTTTGCCTTTGAGGAGGATTGTTGGGAGAAGGATACATCACAGGGATCTGGTAGGACTGAGGATGCATGTGTTGTGGTTTGGGCAGCTGGATTACAAATTTGGTGTCTTCGGTAGCTTGAGCTTGATCCTTTAGAGATGGTGGGTGTTTAGGGAATGACAGCAGAGGATATGGATGAGGCACTGGAAACTTTTGCTGCTCAGGAACTTGAGGATTCCCCTCCACCTCCATAGCGGGCGCAGGTGGGGTTACCAAAGCCTCCGTGCTAGTGGCAAGAGGAGGAGCTGGGGTTGTGGGATGGAAAATTTCAGGTTCCATTGGGAATTGTGGAAAATCAGAATATTGGTAATGTGGAGATTGTTGCATTTGTGGGTACTGGGCCAGGGGATCGGCAGTGTTTTCACCGGCAGAAGACTGTGTTGGTGGTTCAGGATCAGGAAGAAAAGGGTACTGATGGAACTGTGGCATGAACGGGAATTCACGGTTTTCTGCTGCAGGAACATCTTGGTTTTCATTGGTGTAGTCTGCAGGAGCTCCTGAGTAAAACTGTGGATGTGGCAACGGCGCCACTGTATCTTCAGAAGGGTCTGGAGTATTTGTTGGCATGGGCTGGAAGTATTGTGGAAACATTGGGAGCTGATGGTACTGAGGATGCTGCAGGACCTGATCGCTGTCACTCAGAGGCGCAACTGTTTCTACAGCAGGATTTATGTCTGGTAAAAAAGGGCATGTGACTAAGATCTCAACATCCAGCCACAGAAGAGAAAGTAAATACTCCTCATCCTGCAAGGAAACAAAACAAGTAAATCACAGGCGTATTTACACTTTAGCTTCCACGTCCGACCACAAGAGGGCTCATTATACCTTGAACTGTACGCACAGTCCTCTGTTGTAAGGTACAGTGAGCGTCAGTCCACCAGAAAACTCCTTAACATCAAGTCCACAGCTGCTACAAGCCAATGAAAGGGACTTCCACGCGCTAGACACTGCAACAGTTTTCATATTAGACGAGGACAGAAACAGTTTCCTGAAGCAAGTGTGACGTGATTATGTCAAGTCACCTACCTTTTACTTTGAGCTCATCTGCTGTAACGCCACTGATCTTCACCACCATCCCAGACGCAAAGCAGAAAACAGAGGGCGATGGCAACACAGCAGGGCAAGACATGGTCATTGGTGCCCCCCATAAGCGCAGCGGTAGGACGTAATCACCATCCTACAGTATGACAATGACGGAGAGAGAAAAGGCTGAGCTCAGTATGTTCCAACTCTCCCAAAACACTAACATGAAATTGTTAAGATGATTGATTGAAATTAGTTTTTTTTTTTGTGCAAACTGAAGCCACTTGTCACAATGTAGATACTGACACCGAAGACAAAGAGTACCTGCTGGGTAACATGGCAGCCCTGGTAGGATGCAGCAAACTGCACATCTCTGCGGGTCCTCTTCACAGAGAAGCCACATTTAGGGGGCATTCGAGACAAAGGAGTAAGAGGTCTCTCACCTGTTTGACATTAGAGAGAAGTTTAAGGTGTGTATCGGCCATCATTTCCAGCTCCAAATATGTGGAACCTACCACTATCCACGAGAAAATGCGCATCTCTGACCCGTCTGACCTTCAGAGTCATCAGGTTGTCGCTACACTGCACCGATGGGTCCATTCGCTTCAGTTTTGCATCCATGACATCGTGCTTCACTGGAAACACAAACACAAATTCAGTTCATTGAATCAAGAACCACAGCAGAGAGCCCTGCCAAAATTATATATTTTGTCATTTAAAAAAATCAATAAATCAGGCAAATCTGCTGATTTTTAACACTGTAGACAAATAGCACATGTACAGTTGAAACCAGAAGTTTACATACACTGTATAAAAAGACATATAAGCTTTTTTTTTCTCGCTGTCTGACATTAAATCAGACTAAACGTTTCCTGTTTTAGGTCAGTCAGGATCACCAAAATTATTTCTGTTTGCTAAATGCCAGAATAATGAGAGAGAGAATATTTTATTACTTTCTTCAAAGTCAGAAGTTTACATCCACTCAGATTACTATGATTTCAAACTATTTAGGAAAGCCCAGATGATGATGTCATGGCTTTGGAAGCTTTTGATTGGTTAATCGACAACATCTGAGTTCATTGGAGGCACACCTGTGGATGTATTTTAAGGCACACCTCAAACACACTGCTTCCTTTTGTCGATTGTTTTACCTTGTGAAGATGCTGCTGAAGCTGATAAGAGAGAGTCATTATCCACAGTGAAACGAGTTCTGTACC